AGAATTATTACAAAGCATAAAAAACAGTAATGTTTTGGAAAAAAAACACTGTTGTTTGGAAACAGAAATTTACACATATCCTATTTGCTTTGGTTCGTTTTCATCTTTTAGAATCTGCAAATTTTCTTGAAAGACAGGGGGAGCTGTTCATATAGCAGTTCATTTTCTGTTGTTGATAATTTCCTCACCTAAAGTCATAATAGAAGTTGTATGAAACATTCCAATGGATCAGTTATCTGTATGTTACTAGTACAGTAATCATGACTTCAGGTGGGGAAGATATAATATGTAGCTGGAAAAAATGAACTCTAAGAAACCCATAGTCCTTTAAACTGCAAAGAACAACAAAAAGCAAGTTGAAAACTTCAGCTAACAGCTTGGCTTAAAATAGCAACAAAAAGACTATAGGATGGTTTTGGAGCCAAAAATCCATTACCCCCCATATCTGCCAAAATGGAATGTTGACAGCTGTCTCCCACAACCCCATAAGCCACAGTGCAATCACAAAATTCACAATAGAGAGTGGCTGTTCTCCTGGACTCCAAGAACTGTTTAACTAAAAAAGAAAAAAAAACAATATACTGTGGTCAAACCATTTGTATTGAAGTATGCAAGAAGACTCAGCCAAGGGTTCTTTGCATCCTTAAAAGCCAGAAAACAGGCATGTGAACATTCTGCACCCAAAATCACATCTGCAATACCACTGGACCCATCTGGTTGCAATAAGAGGCTGGTAAAGGGGATTATGGAAATGCTTTTCATGGAGGAACTCTGCATGACCTTGACTTCATATTCATAAGTTCGGCAACAAAATCAGGGAAGCAGATTGGCTTATCCTGAAAGAAACTGATTAAGCAAAGTAGCACGCCAGCACACGAGGGAAGCGGCTTACCAGGTCAGACTGTCTGACTATGCAGCCCAGCAGGCTGCACTCTGATTGGTGGCATCGAGGATCTTGGGGTAGAATTCTTTCCCAGCACCTACTATCTACAACTTTTAACCTGGAGATGCCAGGGTTGGAACCACGGACCTTCTGCATGCAAATCATGTGTCCTGCCTCAGCACTGTCTTTCTATTCTGGTCACTTGTGTGAAAGCAAGTGGCTTGGATGACCTTGGGACTTGTCTGGAGACGATTCTTAGGTCCTTGCAAAATCATGGGTTTACTATGAGTAGTACCCACTATGTCTTGTGCCACTGGCGCTCACCTGTTCAAGCAAACACTGCTACCTTAGTTGCTGTGTGGCTCACTGACATCCTAAAAGAAAACAGCATGCAGACTTGTCGCATTTTCTCCATTTGTGAATAGGTTTCCTCCTGGGTCATTTTGTGGAGATTCCTGGTCATCACCAAAAATCATGTGAACTACTAATTTTAAGGAAGACACATCGCACCTGCAGTTCTGGTACTGTGCCTTTAAGCCTAAGGTGGCTACATGCGAGCACACTAATCAGAAAGGCCAACATTTTCAGATTCCCATCGTATCCCATAGCACAGAGACATCTGAGGCAAGACCCTTTCTCTATGCAGTGCCAATGGGGCGGCATAGAAGCCTCCTAAATAAATAAATAAATAAATGGGGTGAGAGCAGATGATGCACTTTTTACACATCAGATGACTGCTCTGTTTTCCCTGCCCGGCCAGAATATGCTAACAAGAAAGCATCAGCAACCATGCCACAGTAGAACATATTAATTAAGCTACTTATGCACTGGTGTAGCAGAGCCAGGAAAGTATTTCTGGCACTTTCTGATTAGCAGGGGTGCTGCTGATGTCATCTGCCATCCCCCTAAAAGTCCCTTTTCCTCTGAGCTGAATGGCAATGCTCACAGGAGCTGGGGGCAGGAAACCAATTTTGCCTGTGAAATATACTGCTGCCTCTTATCTGTGGGTGGCTTGGTCTTGAATTAGCAATTAAGGTCCATTAGCTTTACAAAAGATGGAAACTTAGAATAGATTTGTTGGTATAAATAGCAACAGAAGAGCAGCATGCTGGACCATACCAAGGGTCCTTCTAGTTCACGCTCTTCACTCCACAGCCAACCAACAGCACGCAGGATTCCACAGACAGAGAATGAGTTCCACAGGCCCCTCCTGCCCAAGTTCCTCAGCAACTGCTGTCCACAGGCATCCTGCCTCTGCTACTGATGGTCACACCCGCCATGAATTGCTGCAATCCCCTTTCAAAGCCAACCAAATTGGTGGCCACCACTGTATCGTTTGGACATATGGTGTGTGCAGAAGGGCTTCCTTTTATCTCAACTCAATTTCCCAGCAATCAGTTTCATGCCATGCCCCCTAGTTGCAATGGTACAAGAGAGGCAGAAAGATGCCTCCTTAGCTACTTTTTGCACAACACACGTATTTTTGTACACCTGCATCATGTTTCTCATTAACTGCCTTTTTTTCCAAGTCACAGAATCCCAGCTGCCTGAAGTTCTGGACCTTCCTTGGGGGAGCATGGGTATGACAATCGTCATGATGAGTGCCAGCACATCAAAATTCACCACTGCACCTCCAATGAAATCTGAGGTTTGCTGTATGTTTTCTGTTGACAGGCACACGTTCCAGATAACAGGAAAGATTCTGTCTGTGATGGTTACTAGTGAGCGATCGTTTCTCACCACCAAGCAATCTATATATGGTATTAATGTTGATCCCCTGCTAAGAGGCTGCAGAGATGAATCCATCCTTAGAAGAGCTCTCCTGCTGCCATTTCAGGAGCAACCCATAATATCCTCACCATTTGTCAAGCTGGGATTGTAATTATCCCAAGCAGCATCTCATGCATGCATTTATATTTATATTTATATATTTAAAGACCATTATCTGACCTAATGGGATTGATTGTGAGAATGTTTTGCTTTTTTAAAAATCACATTCATGTGCAATTTATGTTTTCTTAATGCCATCCCATCCGTCTTCTTAATGACCTAGCAACAAATCAGTATAAAAACAAATCCGTTTATTATCAAAGCTTTCTAAGTTGCCTATAGTACAAAGGTATCTATTTTCTGATGGAGAATGGACCTTTGTTTCACTAGCATCTCCTTACACTCACCCCCTACTGCCATCAGAAAATGCAGAGAGAGGCAATACTATGAATTTTCCTTATGCCTTCACCAGCTACCTCTTATTGTGGCAACTCATCCCAGCTAACCGCTCTCAGTGAACTGCTGTTCTTCTTCTCAAGTCAGCTCAGGAAGAAATTACAGGAAAGGAATTAGTTAAACTGGGCTTGATGACCTGAAAACTGGCAGTCTTCGTACACCATGTCAAAATCTGAGCCACAAATATCATCAGACATTTCCCAGACACCATGTCAAAAACATTCCCTTCCTTTCCAAAAACCAAACATTCCCTTTCATTTCGGTCTCCTGTGGAGGCCTGTTCCAAGTCCACAAGGGGACCTGGCTTGGGTCTGTACTAACACAGGTAATATTCTGATTATCCTGAATTCCCTTCCCCCACTTCATCCCACAAGCTAAAGGAAGCCCTAAGATTCTCTGTATTAACAGGGAAAAAGCAGTCTGATCTAAACTAGGGGTGAGCAGACCTCAGGTCCAAAACAGATATTAAATCTGCATCTAGCTATTCTAGATATAGTTTTAATTTTTACTCTACACTAATTCAGCAGTTCCATTTTGGATCATAACCTTCATATGATAAGCAGGATAGTAGGGCTTCTGACATCGGGATTCAGAGCCCTGTAACTACTCTAGAGGGGGAAAAGATAACACAGCTACTCGGCAAAAGTTTAAAGTAATGGCTGCTTTGGCTCTAAAGACTGATGGGTCTACTTTTCCCCCAAAAAACATCAAGGTCCAAGCAAAGCTGGATTTAAAATGGGGGCTAGCACAGCTTCAGTACACTTTGAATTGTGGACCGGGGTGCCTCTGAGCACAATTGAAACCCAATAATTTGTTTCCAGTAAGAAATTCCTTTCACAGTCCTTTCACACACAAGATTCACACCCAGTTTTTCCTTTGTTACAGCAGTTTAATTTGGTGTGGGCAGATCTTTTAGTAACTGCTATTGTTGAAACAACTGAGAGTCAGAAACTCTTGGTCTACTGAGATCTCAAAGTAGATCTTGATCTGCCTTCTGTACACACTTTGCTCTATAGGAGGGGCTGTCTTTGGCCTGGATATTTCATGTAATGAAACTCTTCTAAGAAAAGAGAGTACAGTCCCCTGCCCCACAGAGCTTTTCTTTCCTTCTCTTCCATCTCAGAACAAAAGCACACAGAGATAAACATCAGCAGTTGCAATCCTACAGTGCCAAACTACTATATTGTGGAAATTAACTCATATTCAGCAATGATTAGGTTCCCCCTCTAGTGTCTGAAATCTGCATTTTAAGAGATGGCAAAGAGCAGCACTGCTGACAAATTAAGTGCTACTGTTACCTGCATTTTTACAGACATAACATCTGTTGCATTTAACATATGCACCAGAATGAGTTCTTGCAGGCTTCCTTTTGATCATATCCATCAGCATAAAGAATTACATCACAGAAGTCTCACATCACTGATTAATTCCAGAAGCAGAACCATGTTAGAGAGCAATCTTATCTTGCTGATGGAGCTCTCTGTGCTCAAGTGCTCCCTTCTTTCTTATACCCAGTTGGCTACTGCAGCCAGGATAGAAGGTGCGGGGGGGGGGGTGCAATTTCTGGTCTATCTGTGGATGGAAGAAAAATAATTTCCTCCCAGGGCCATCTTATTCTTGGAACTAGCCATGTACCACCAGAGTAGCTGGCTAGAAAAAAGAGCTCTTGGCTTGCTCTGTGCTGGGCTATAGCACCACCATAGCAGGTGGCAAGAAGATGGCATGACTGACTACTAAGTGGCTGACTACTAAATCAACAGGATCAGGTGACACAAGAAGCCAACAGAGTCCCGCTGATCCTGGTTCATCTGGCTGAGTTAAATGCTTTTACATTATCGAAGCAGATGCCTTCGAGAAATAAAACCACATTCTAATATTTCAGACCTCTTACCTGTAGTATCTGGACTGAAGGTAAGTTGAGCATACCGCCTTTGACACATGGCTGGCAGAACCAAAGTCTATGACCTTGACCCTGTACGGCTGCCGAGATGGATCCACCAACATGATATTTTCCGGTTTGAGGTCTGCATGAATCAAGCCCAGGCTTTTCAATTTCATTAGGGCTGTGGCTACCTGCTGCAAGATTGGTCGGATGTACTTAAGAGGCAATGGGCTGAACTTGTTCTGTTTCAGGAAATCATACAGGTTCTGTTCCAACATCTCAAAGACCAGGCAGGTGTGGTTCTTGTGCTGGAAACACTCATAAGCACGGACAAAGTTGTAATCATCTGCGCTTTCAGTACTTAACCGAGCCAGGATGCTCACTTCAATTTGACCTTGCCGGGCGTAAGAAGGATGGTTTTTAAGGATCTTGATAGCCACAATTTCATTGGTGCCACGTTTCCAGCATTTGACCACTTGCCCAAAGGTTCCGCGGCCAAGGAATTCTAATACTTCATACGTGTTGGTCATGGAACACAGCACTTCATGTTGCACCAGCTGGTAATCCCCTTCACTGTTGGACCCACTATTTTTGGATGTGGCAGTGGACGTGGTTGTGGTGGCTACCGTGGCCCCACTGGCATTGTTTTGAATCATTGGTGGGTGCTCTTCAATAATCTGAACGCTGCTTGTGTTCTCTATTTCCTCACTCTTGCGCTTAAGTCCACATTTTTGGTAGGTGTCCAAAAGGCTCACAGTGCTTCGACGCATCAGGTTGTGTGGTCCACCCAATGCTTGCCCAGATACTGCAACCACACCAGAAGTGCTGTTGGCGGATGTCACCACAATGTGTCCCGTGCTGGCAGGGAAGATGATGGTCTGCTCGTACGGGATGCTGGGGTTCGGGATCTGGAGAGAGGCGTTGATGGCGGCAGCTGCTTGTGAAGATTGCACGTTCTTGCTCTGACTGTAGACTTTACTATGCGTGCCGTACCCAGTCATATCCCAGTTAGAACTTGGTTCCACTTTCAGTTTCTTCACACTACAGAAGGCACTTGATTGAAGGGTGTGAGGGGAGAAAACTTGCACATGTGAGGCCATACCTGTATCGCAACACAGCAGAAAACGGTACTGTTAAGAACACGATGTTGGTGTAATATTTGTTGCCAATAGTATGTTGACACAATATTTAAGGCAATGTACAATCTTGGTCATGGAGCCAACTGGGTGGTTTTGGGCCAGCCACAGACTCTTAACCAAAACTATCTCACAGGGTTGCTGTTCTGTGGATAAGATTAAGATGAGGAGGAGGAGGAGAAGGAGGACGTAAGCTACTTTGAGTTTGTAAGAAAAAAGCAGGATATAAATCTAATAAATAAGTAAAGCATACATCCTCTGGACCCATCTTTTCAACCTACTGTCTATAGGTCATGTTTAAACCTCTTGCCAGTAACTAAGCCTTAGCAGAAGCATTTTAGCCTTTCAGAATGGGAAATAAATTGCATAAAAGCACAGGCCCAAAAATGACAGGCAGTGGCAGGGGAGAGGGGAAGCCAGAATCCCTAGCAACAGGGAAAAGGGGCGTGTCCATCTAGGAGAATGTCAGGAGGACTAGATTTGGCCCCAGAACACGAGGATCAACATTCCTGTCATGGGTTATGCATCTGGATCTCATCCGACTCAAGAAGGGGACTCGTGTCATACAACTAATGCAACTTAGTTGACTGATTAACTTAAAGCTGGTCTAGCAGAGTCAACATTACCTACAGGCAGAGATTTGGAAAGCTGGGTTAAAAGATCCCATGCAATCATCACAACACCAGAGTCTGGGGTGGATGAGGCGAACAGATTCTTTTCAACTGAAGTTCCAAGGGCAAGTTGGCTTACAGAAGTGCCTAGTAGCAGGAGAATTTCTCTAAGGAGGGCAGAGTGAAAGGTAATCCTGTTAGCACTAGGTTATTTGAGCCTGTATCTGTGGCTGCATTACTTGAGCTGCCCAGAAGTGGTTGTTGTTATCCACGGTTAAACAGGCCTACACAGTAGCTGTCCAAGCCAAAGGCAGTTTACCTATGCTCAAGTGACTGACCTTTGTGGAGAGTTCTCTGATGAGGCAGAAAAAGTTAGGATAAATTCAGCAAATTGTCCTAAATGTGTACTGCTTTGCTGCAATTTATCTGTATGTGTATGAAAGTCTGGATCATTTGGAATTTGAGGACTCTCCCCCATGAAATCTCTTGTCACCCTGCCCATGAAATCTGAAATTTCACCTGATGGATGGCACCAACCATGGGCAGAAAAGTTGTTCAGCGGTAAGAACTACAATGAAAATAACACACAATAAGACAGACTAATTTGCATAGCTCATTGGCATGTAACTAATATAATTTGCATATCATTTTATTAATCTGACAGATGCCAAACAACATTTATTCAACAGTCTTCTTATTCTGAGATTGTCACCCTTAATTGGAAAACCTTAATTTGGCTTTTGAAAAAAAAAAAAAAAACTTAGACAAATGTGATCTCTGGGGTGAATTCATGCACGTTCACACACACAGAGAGAACATTCAATGACTTCAGCATTAAGTAAGTGCTTAGGTGTGTGACTCTGCCTCCCCGGCTCCTGAACCACAGACCAATTTTTGCAATCACTTGATTGTATCCCCAAACAAAATACCTTAATGCGGAGGTAGTTCCCACATCCAGAAGTAGGTCATCAGAAATTAATTATGGAGGGCCTAAATTTATGCTAGCACTGATGAGTGATAAGACACACAGCGATGTTTACCCATGTGTGAAAAATTATGGAAAATTGAATACTGTGAATTCTGGCTTCTATTTATTTTCTCCCCCGCCTACAAACCCCTAGGCAACTGTTCTTCTTGACCACCACCACCTTGCAGCTACGACTTAGACTGCGCTAATTCGAGCTTAATGCTGAAACCATTAAGGCACAGCTGTGGAACATGTGAAGGAAAATATTGCTGCTCAGTGGCAGAACATGATTTGCATGTAGAAGGACCCAGGTTCAGTCCAGCATCATTAACTAAAGGGGATTAGGTTGCTGGAGATGGGAAGAAATTCTCTGCCTGAAACCCTGAAAAGCTGCTGCAGAGTAGATGGGCACAATCGAGTTGCTCCAGCCGCCATAGAAGGGGAAATAAGCCACGGCCCTTTATTTCTCCCACTGCACATTCATCTATTCATAGCTTTTATAACCCACCCTTCACAATGTCTCAGGGTGTTACCAGTGGCCTGCTGGAAGATCTGCATAATTTCTTTGCAGGTGGAACTTGCCCTCTTGCACAAAAGCTGACTTGTGGCCATGGTTAACAAGCCAACCTGCAACACTAAAGCAGCCAAGCACAGCAACCACCCCATCCTTGCAGCTTCATAAGGCATGACAACCTATAGAAGGAGCTGGTTTATGGGATGGGTGCCTGTGGATGCCCACAAGCTCACGTGACCATTTGAACCAGCTGCTGCATGGCATGGGATGGCATGAGGCAAGTTCCTGTGTGAGGGAAGAATTTGTCCACCTCCCTGAGTTTGTCCACCTTCTGCTCCTGAACTGCTTCAGAATCACATACAACAAACCTGGAAACTGATAGTGAAGGGGAAAGTAATAGCAATCTGCATCCTATTTACTAGAATGGGGAAACAAACATCCATTCAAAAGCCCTGTTCTCTCTAGGAGAAACCTTTAAAAAAAGGCTTTCTCCATAAGGAACAGCTGCTCTGACATCAGTACTCAACAGACCAATCCTTGCCTTCTGCTCTTCCCTATCCGCACGCAAGAAAATTCCAGTGTTGGATATAATTTTTAAATTAGGAGAATTGGTGCAAGCACAATATACAGCAGCTAAATACTCCTTGTGTTCAAACTGAAAGACCAATTTAAGATCGATTGTGTGTGTGTGTCCACGTGTGCTACAGAAAATACATTTTTAAATACTTTGGGCTGTTGAAGGCCTGATGTGATCAGTGTGGATCTCTTTCTTTTTTGGCAGAGCTGCCCTAAAATCCTTAGGAAAGAGCTAACAGCTACAACTATTTACACTGCACTAGTGGAAACCATTGATTGTGCATCATCAATAGTGCCTTGTAGTGGCACAGTTTCCCCAAGAAACCTGTCACATGAATACACTTGCACTACTAATATTATGCAAGTGTCGGTTTCCATCAGCACACCAGAAATATGCTAGTTGCCGGACACAGTTGGAGCATTTCCTACAATATTACAATATGGCTACTGAAAATAACATATGAAGTTAGAGCTCATAGCTTTAGAAAACGTTGAAAGAGATTTTATGGGATTTGTAGATGGGGAGGGGGGCAGCTCTTGCACATTATTATCTGCTCAGACAGAGTTGCCCAATTCTGAGGAGGATACAGAGGGGCAGAGTTGGGCAGACGACTTTGTCATTATCTAGTGGAGATATTTAGGCATTCTGTGTGAGAACCAGCCCACCTTGGAAAAGGAGGGGGGAATTTCAGAGCTGGGGGAGAGGAGATAGAGAGAGAGCTCTATGATGGTGTCAGGAGGCAACAGGAGAAATGAACAAACCAATTAAGAAGTGTCCGGTGTTCCCACCATCTAGCCCTCAAGCAGCAGGAACACCCTGAGGGTGGAGCGAGAAGCTTTACTGAAAGGGAGGGGAGGAGACGTTTCAGCTCCGATTCAGCTCTTCACATGGGCAGATGTTTCACATCTCAAAAAGAAGGCTACTTTGATTTATACTGCTTGTAACCCGTTAAGTTTTAATAAAAGGTCCTTCTTGAAGTCTCATCTGAGTCTGCTAGAGAGGAAAAAAGGCAGGGCAAAATCTGCACACAACAGGATTCAAGAAATCAATATAAGGAAACATTCTCTGTTATGAATATACAGTTGGCTACATACACCAGCGCAAATGAAATACCATGCCAGTGCAGAGAGTTTTGTTAGTGAAAATTTGGCAAATTTCAGACATGGAAAAAGCCTGACTTGAATTACAAGTGCTCAGAAAAGAAAAGATAAATGATTTGATAATGTTTACAGAAAATTAGTCAAGGATGGTAACTCAGTAGAATAAGAATTAAGGAATAAATCAGGTGCTTGACTGGATACAAACACACACATGGAAAGGACAGACAGGGCTGGACTGACTGCCTGCTCTACACTGCCATGTGCCAAGAGCCCCTTTTGCACATATACCAAGAATCAGGTTCTTGCATGCATCATGCAAGCTCTGTTCCCAGCAACGGGGGACCAGGATGCTTCAGAGTAACGTGACTGGATGTCCCGACTCCACCTGGGCCTATGGCCTGATTCCAGTCCACTTGGAGAAGAGTCTTCAGTGTGGTAGCTCCATTTCTATAGAACTCCCTCAGGAGGTCAAGCAGGCACCAAAATTGTGTTGTTCTCAGCACCTCATGTACACATCTCCATTTCAGAAAGCCTTCCTTGACTAGCCCTGGTTTTTATTTACAGCCTACTTTCAACTTTGTCCTGAACTGCCGCATTCCCACTCGTTCGCAGCTGCTGACCACCATGCAATGGAGCAGAGTGGAGCCCCCTTCATTGCTCATCCCTCACCCCCAAGTCACCCATCACTTTCTAGTCGTGTCATTACTAGTTTGCAGTGGGTGACACACAGCATGGAGACTGCGAGAGGAGCGCCAAGGGGCTGGTGGAGCGGTCAGAGCACCTGGGCCAGGGGGCGGAGCCTCCTCCGCTGAGGTCGCCTTCTGCAGGCAGAGTCCAAGGCATGTTGTTTTTATTTATTTATTTAGTAAACTTCTATGCCGCCCCATTCGCCGAAGCCTCAGGGCGGCTTACAACAACATTTTATGATTGTATGGTTGGTATTTTATTATTGTATATCTATTTTGCATATTTATTTTGCTAATGTATCTGGAATTTATTGTAAAATGTACATGAGATTTCAATTTATTTGGAAATGTCTTTGCATAATAGACTGATTGATTTAGGTATTTGGAAATGTATATCTGTTTTATTGTACTATATCTATTTTGGAATGCAAACCATCCAGACAGCCCTGTGGGCTATGGAAGCAGTATAGAAAACTAATCATCACCACCACATTGTTTTCTTCCTTTAGCT